TTTTTAGCGAGTTACTCTAGCGAATTCCGCTGAGCTGCGAGTTATAAAATCGTATTTAAGGTTCACCAGTGAGCTATGATACCTGTGTTATAAGTAGCCCATACTGGAAACTGAAAATTGGATGTAATAAAAGCTTGCATATTCAACCATGAACCTTATATTAAAATAGTAACAAACTGTGCCAGTGAGTAGATATTTTTTTAGGATTGGGGAAGCACTGGAATAGTACAAGGTGCCGCTCAACACGGTGAGGTGAGGTATAAGGTAAGGTTTCCGATTCATAGCAGTACAACACCCAAAAATTCACACAGTACAGATTCCTTTCTAACCTTTGGCCTTTTAAGAATTAAAATTCATTCGTAACTTACAATAGAACTATTTACATGGACATGTACCTTGTATGTGGAAATAACCTCCTTCACGTAGCATTTTAATTAGCAAATTCATTACAGGGAAAACCTTCTTTTGTTCCTTCTCTGGGAAGAAGAGTTTGGCCTGAATAAATGACAATGGTCCACGGAAGATTATACCGAACATGTTCAGATGAAGCCCACGGATTTGACTGCAAAAAGACATCAAAAATAAAACAAGTAACTTAATTGACAGATCAGTGATAACATAAAGTAAACTCTGCATACCATGGACGAGTGAGTCTTGACAAGCAAGTTTTCTTAATTTTCTGAGTTTCATACATCAGCTATATATGTAAAAAAACGTCTGGAACAACCATTCCACTGTTTTCTTGTTTTTTTTGTTTTTTTAAACTTCGTTTGCTGGACACCTTTTTCACAACGTACCACAAATGTACATGGCACGTTTGTAATTTGAACCCCTCAAGAAGGCATACCTCCATGGGTACATCGAGGAGTCACCACAGGAATTAAGTGCTTGCTATGGTGGTGGGGAATGTAGTACCACTTGGGAGTAGGGGTAGTGGGGAATTTTAACGATATTCGTCCCCCAGTAATAGTGAAATATATGGAAAAGAACCTCGATACAACGAAACCTCGTTATGGCGAACATATTTTGCCAGTACCCAAGTCCTTCGATAAATCGAGGTTCCACTGTACATTTCCATACTGCAAACCAACACTTGGGACATTGCAGAAGTTCAACTTGTTGGGTATTCAAGCAGGGTTTTTGTTTAGAGGCTGGAGCCCCGATGTTCCGCGATGTTTTTTCGGATCCGGTTGTTTTACATTTCATGTCCGGTAACTTGATAACAAATTTCAGATTTTTTTTCTTTTTGACTTAGCATCTTATGAACTTACGTACTAGAGGATAACAAAATAAGCAATTCCAGTCAATACTTCAAAACCGCCATATTAGCCATATTTTTTTGCTTATCAAGCAGAATATTAGACTACGAGTAGTCTCTCTTTTGCTTAGTCCGTCGCGCGCGAAAGAAAACGGCGAGAAAAGCATGGCCGCGCAAAATCCTGGGGGCAAGAAGCACAGTAATAATAGCGAAAGGGGGACTACTCGTAGCCTATCAGAATATTTGACTGTAAGAGAAATGAAGAGAACTAACGATTTTTTCCCTTGAAACCCAAAAGAAAACAAGGTATGGCTAAGGTTTAGGGCATAATGAGTCTGAATGTTTCATTGCATTGACAGCAGCCAGTAGAGAGGGTGATTTGATGAAACGGTTATGCACCTGTCATTGAAAACCCCCACAGTCCCCCCCCCCCCCCACCACACCCTAGGGAAACATGGGGTATTAGCCACAGAGCAAAACCCACCAAGGATAATGCCCTACATATAGCGGAGAGGTTTTCGGGTCTAACCCCTACCAACATGAGGATAATGCCCCACACACGAGGGACCTAAATTCTAAACTCACAGCATTACTTTCGGAAGTGTGATTGATATTCATTTTTTAGTACTTTAACTTTTCCAACAGGAAATGTCCAGCCATTCTCCCTCTAGCACATTCTTTCTAACAATCCTTGCACATGAAAAATAATACAACTTCACACCGCAATGCAAACTGTCACGTCCCCTCATGTTTCTGACAATTTTTTTTTTGAAATATTTTTTTTAAATAAGTACTAGTGAGCAGCACACAGCAACAGATCTTGTCAACTTGCTTTATTTTCTCTGACCCGATTTAATTTTAAATCTGTGAACCCTAAAACTAAACATTGTACATTCCACAGGATTTTAGTCATCTCCTGCATGTAATGTTCTGTAGGTGTTTTTCTACTGTTCATTGTCGCCTTTGTACTCTAAAGATTAGGTATAAAATAAGTTCCCTTTAGCCACCTTGTTCAAACTCCCTGACAAAGTCGCTGTTATCAGACAAAACCAGTGGGAGAAAATAAAGCTCTCCTGCTGTGAGCTGCTCAATAGTAATTATTCAAAAAAGTTCAAAAAAAAAAATAAAAATAAGGCAAAGCACCTGCTACCAGACTCTCATTTCAGACCTCTTTCATACCGAGTTATTAAAGTGCCCTTCATGCTACTCCTCCCTGCTCAGGCAAGGCATTGGACATCACGCAAAGCAAGGGATAAAATGTACTAATCTCCCACCCCAAATTTACTGGGCCATTCCCATAAAATGTTTCAATTTCCATCACCTTACTTCCCATGAAAGTGGGTCAGTCAGACAAAAAAGAGAGAAAACTGACAGAGGGAGCCTGAGTCCAGGATAATGCTGTTTGAAGAAATATTTGTTCTATAGCTTTTTTTTTTTTGCATTCCTTTGCAGTTGAGTAGGTTCATTACAAAAATCACCAATCAGCATGGTTTTCATAAAAGAGAATTTGAATGGAATTTGGGCTACGAGTAGACCTTTCAAGACCTTACGACAGGAATTTATTTCCCCCAAGTCAAGACTGCCGGCCGATCTACGATCCCTGTGCAGATTGTCCGTGGAACTATATAGGTGAAACTGGAAGGTATTTACAAACAAGAAAGAATAACATATTAGGAACAAGAAAACCTACAAAAACGCTTCAAACATTGCCACTCATGCATGGTCAAATGGCCACTCTATTTATAGACTGTTCACAGCCCTCTGTTTTCTCCTCTTTTTATTTGATCGTTTAACACGTGGATAGGATCATGAGAGAACTGGATGCCAGCACAAAACCGAAGACTTGACTGGTGGGGGGTGGGTATCGAGAAAAATTTCTTCTTCTTGCTTGCTTCACTCGCAAACCCCAGCCCCCATCCCCGCATGCTTCGAAACCATTACCTAGACAATATTCTATTCTATTTATCTATTATGAACCCCATATGAGCATCTTATTTCTTCACAAGTATCCTGTTCTTCTTATTGTATTTTCTTTTACCACAGGGACCCATACAAGCGACATGTCTGTTTGTATGTTTGAAATATAAAGAAATGTATGGGAATATTGAAGAGTCTTAATATCGTACTCTTATATCGAGTCATGTCTATGTTAAAGCTCAAAATAAACATAAACCTACCTCAGCTGTTTGTGTATTATTGTTTCTGCGAATAGTAACAGTCAACGCAAAACCCACCAAATTGCTCAAAATCACCATTTTGAGCTGCAGAAACAACAATGCATTAGTGACTTCACCTATTGTTATAAATATGCCAACCAGAGAAGTATTGGCTAGTGAAACAAAGAATTCTTTTGTTTAACATTTTGAACATTTAAATAACAAAAACAACGTTTGTAAACAAATATCTTCTTCATCCAAAGACATTGTCACGATCCAAAGAAACCTCAGTGAAGACATTAACAACTTATGTCGTTGGTTCAAAGAAAACAAACTGATAGTCAATTTAAGAGAAGACTGAGGCTATGCTCTTTGGAACTGCAAAAAGAATCAATCTTGGAGGAAATGAGCTTGATATTTCCATTAATGAGACATGTGTCAACAATATGTTTGTTTACAAGTACTTGGGCATTGACCTAGACCCAAATTTGAACCTTACATCACACTTTGATAGCATTCACAAGAAAGCAAAAGGCAGAGCTAACCTCTTAAGGTTGGCAATAGACCAAAAATGTGCTGAAACAATCTATAAAACAATGATCTTGCCCATTTTTACATACTGCAGATCACTTGGTCTTGGTTGGTCAGACACCCAAAAAAGTCTGATTAAGAACATTGAACAACGAAGTTTGAAAATTATTGGTAACAGCAATCTAAAACTACCATCAGCAGAGAACTTAATTATGTGCAAAAGCAGTCAGTTTGTCTTTGACTGTCTTCAAAATAATGTTTGCACCCCTTAAGACCTACTTTGAAAGATCACTTGAAGCTAAGAACACAAGGAACAATGATTTATCAGTGAAACTACCTAAAGTTTGCCTTGAATTTGGGAAGAAGAGCTTTCATCATCAAGGAGCCAAGATTTTTAATGAACTACCAATCGAATTTAGATCCATAACTTCAAGATTTCTATTTAGCAAAAGNNNNTTAAAAAACATTTGGCGACGCGTTGCCTTACAGGGTCGCTGGTCAAAAGTTTATTTTCTCAAGATATATTTGTTACAATGCAAGTGTTGGTAGCTTCCCACGCCCTAAGGAGTCTGCGTGGGAGAGTAAAGTGTTGGCAATTTGAAACTGAATTCCAAGTGTCGCCAACAGTTCAAATGCCTTTCCTTGAAAATATTTTGTCCAGTACAAGTTAATACTTATATTAATTAATTAAAAACACTTCTACTGCAGGCTTCAACTTTAAATAGCCTGCGAGCAGGCTCTCATCGTTAGCGACACAAGAAAAGCCGTCGGCGAACGACGAGCGAAGTGAAAAATGAAATGTAAAGAGAAAAATGGTACATTTCATGTTTATTACCCTCTTGCCATCGTATGTTGCTCCTACGTACATGTATTCGTATGTAACCAATGTATTCGTATAATTGCGCTCGCAGAACGCAGTTCATAATCTTGGGTGTCCTGTAGTTTCAAGGGTGACTTCTTTTGAGACTTTTCGTCAAACAATCTCGTTCCCAGAGCCCACGTTTCTTTTGGTCAGCGCCAACCAAAAGACACGTGGGCTCTGGGAACGAGATTGTCGTCGAACGTCTGCATTTTCAGCGCCATTTTGAATGACGCCATATGTCATACGTCATATGCGCAAAGACTATCGTGCACCTCATGGTTTTCGTCAATCTCGTTCCCAGAGCCTTCGTTACCCTTGTCCCGTTCCGCTGGACAAGGGTACCGAAGGCTTTGGGAACGAGATTTGGGTAGTAGTCATTCTCGTCCCCATAGTCCTTTTCGCTCCTCTTAGCCGGTAGGGCTTTGGCTCGTGCCAAGGCCCTGCCGGCAAAGAGGAGCGAAAAGGGCTATGGGGACGAGAATGGGTAGTAGTCATTTTCGTCCCCAGAGGCTGCGCTCCTTTTGGTCAGCACCAAGAATAACGAACTCTGGGAAGGTCCAATTTTCTGAGCATACGCAGAGTAAACGTTGCGTATTCCCAACCAATCAGATTTGTCAGACTTGACTCTGAGCATACGCTGACTGACGGGAAGTCCGTGAATCGCGGGCTTCCGGTGTTCGACCTTCCCAGAGGTCACATTTCTTGGTGCTGACCAAAAGGAGCGCGGCCTCTAGGGAAGAGAATGCGTAGTAGTCTGAGCAAGTCTGAGCATTGTAAAGCGGATTTCTTGAGCTGGAGACTACCTCGTGGTTTATAGTTTATTTTATGTGTTCACGAACACGACTTTGAATCGCCTTGGCTTTGGGAATGTTAACCATGTGAACAGCTATATTTCATTGTCTGTAGCTTGATTGCATTTGTTGATTAGCTCCAGTCGCGACAGATAACTCAGTCTTTATCGGGTCGAATATTGTAAGTACTCTGAAGGCAAGATCCATAAGATTAAGCCTGAACCAAGGAACGGCAATGTAAAAAATACTGTCTACTTTTGTTCATCAGGGGAAATATTCGAATCAGTCGCGCGGAGTTTGTTGACGATAAACAAGCACGCGATTGCAAATGTTTGCTTATATTTGTGCTCCC